AAAGACTTCGGACCCGAGACTCCAAAAAGAGTATTCCTTCAAGGACGAAGACGTTCCAGCCATCTTCGAATCCCTCCTTGAGAATAACAAGATCAAGCTACCACCTATCGCAAATCTGGAGGAAGCTGACAATACTGCGGATCCGAAGTACTGTGCATACCACAAGAGGGTCCTTCATCCCACCAAGGATTGCTTCGCTCTCAAGAATAGCATCCAAACCTTGGTTGAAGCCGGCGTCATAACGCTGAGATAAGTCAAATGAGAACGGAGTATAAGAGTATAAACTGCTTCTCAATCCTCCGACCGGTATAAGAGGTTAAACTGCTCCCTGATACTCCAACATGTATATGAGTCTAAACTGTTTCATTTCTTTCACGGGAAGTTCCTGGAGAATTTTTATATGTAATATTCTTAAGGATAACCCGGTCATGTAACTGAGTACAATGTCGGACCCAGTTCCACAAGGGAAGCTGGGGGTGGATTATTCATGTATCGGGAAGTTCCCGAAAGAATACCACGGGTGATATTCTTAGGGATAACCCAATCACTATAAAAGTGATAAGTAAAACATCCACATTTAAACTCTAAATGTCGGAATGTTTTCCATTATTGTTATCAAATTCACTAATTCTCATGAGTTATCTTGTTGAGACGAGATTCGATCCTTTTGACAGATTAATCTTTCCTCACAAAAATCCCCCACTGATCAAGTTAATTGACGGTGGGTCCACTAAATTTTTTGTCCGCCAATTCATGGCAATTTCCAAAGCTTGACGTGTTAAGTCCTGATTACTTAACGTCAAAACCCTTCATCGAGTGGCCAGTACAAACCTGTATTTCTACTGCTACTTGTATTCCACCCCCTTTGCTTTCTTGGTCAAACCTTCCTACAGTTAGGGCCACAATCAAAATCCCCTCTCGATTCTTCCAATGAACGAGAGGTCCACTTTCAAATCAAGTGATCAAACCTTCCTACAGTTAGGGTCATCTCACACTCCTGCTTGGTCAAACCTTCCTACAGTTAGGACCAAAACCACAATTCACTCTTCCGATAACCAAGCCTATAAAAGGTAAGTTTATCTAAATTTTCCAGATTCTCGGAGTGGAGATCCCACTTCTAGTTTCTTTTGCGCTGGAAATAGAATATAAAATTCTTCCTTTCCAGAATCAAGGAATAGAATATAAAATTCTTCCTTCCTTGTATTCGGGTTTGCCTTCACCCTAAAAGAAGACAGGAAAATAGAATATAAAATTCTTCCTTTCCCGCACCAACCTTTTCCAAGAATTTGTTAATCTATGATTCATCCTAGGAAGTTTATCCCGAATCCTAAGCAGGGATAAGTCTGCGCCTAACACGCACTGTCGGTTTAGTCTTTCTCCGTAGAAAAAGACACCAGAGTTCGATTCTGGGGTATTCTATCCTGAAACCTAAGCAGGGATAAACCTGCCCTTAACCTGCGCTGCCGGTTAGTTCTTAACCTTTAAAAAAAATATCCGCCCACATATTCAACATTGTGGCAGGTTGTTATTAATAACACCAAAATCCATGCCTTACACGCGTGGGGAATTTCATCCTGAATCCTAAGAAAGGATATGCCGACGCCTAACACGCGTCGCCGGTTTAGTCTTTTTCCGTAGAAGAAGACACCAGAGTTCGATTCTGGGATATTTTATCCCGAAACCTAAGTAGGGATAAGCCAGCATCTAACACACGTTGCCGGGTAGCCTATTCCCGTGACAATGGCGAAGTCTACGTATTCAAAATCGTAGCGCCAAGTCTAAGAGAATTCACTCTCTTAGCACAACGTCACATGCGGAACGGATTTAGACAATCCGCATACTAGCCCGACTCAAACGGTAGTCGGTAAAGGCTAATCAAATCCGTTGAAGGCTGGGGGTTAGCCAAAAATCCTAAAGTCAATGCCTAACACGCGTCGCCGGGTAGTCTATTCCCGTGAGAAAGACGAAGTCTACGTATTCAATATCGTAGCACTAAGAGCGTTAACTCTCTTAGCACAACGTCACATGTGGAACGGATTTAGATAATTCGCATGCTAGCCCGACTCAAACGGTAGTCGGTAAAGGCTTATCAAACCCGTTGATGGCTGAGGGTTTGCCAAAAATCCTATAAATACGAGAGTCACTGACGCATCAGCTTCATTAGTTGGTCTCGTGACTTGAGCATCCAACGACATTCGAAACCCTAGGGTCAACGCCGATCAACGCGTAACCCTAGGTCAATGCCAGTCAACGCGTTGCGATTAAAAAGTCAACGTACGACGTTCAAAACCCTAAGGTCAACGCCAGTCAACGCGTTGTGATCAAAAAGTCAACGCACGACGTTCAAAACCCTAGGGTCAACACGTAACCCTAGGTCAACGCCTATCAATGCGTTGCAATGAAAGAATCAATACTCCCATAAGGTATACGAGTATAAACTATTCCCTATTTTTGGTTGAGAAGTTCCTGGAGAATATTTTTTTTTCTAAAAATACTCTTAAGGATAACTCAACAACACTACGCCGGACAACGCGTCGCAAATGAGCTCAACAACACTACGCCGGACAACGCGTCGCAAATGAGAGCTCAACGCCAACAATCGATGGTCAGTTCTATGTTGAACCAACAAACACGAGCTAAAGATCAGAAAATCAGGAATTAACTTCCAGTTCAAAATTCTGACAACGGTCAGACAATAAATGCAGCACCGGAACCCTTGCAGACATTCGACAAAGCACTGAATAGCCTGAAGGCTTGAAAGAATCAAGAATAGAAGCCATTCAAAAGTCCCGTCATACCGATTGAATGTTGGGGCAATCATATCCAAAGCATTCCAGACTCTTCTATAAAAGAACGAGGCTGAAATACTTTCGAGGGGGTATCTGTAGGCGTATAAAACTACTTATAGGTCCCTTAACACAGCTCGGCAGGATGATTCAACAAATCAACGAACCATCGGGCGATGTATCCAAGCGTAATCGTTAGACCGCCACATCGAAGCTAAGTGAGATGCGACGAAGCAGATTAACGAGGCTACGAGGCTAACGAACAACACGCGAACAACGGAATACATCCACTCGCGTGCGGAATCAAGTTAACGGTTCGGTGAGTCAACGAGTCATCCAACTGTGGGACGGATTCGAACTCAAACACCGAAGCGGATTTACTGCCAAATCAGGATCCGGACTGACAAGTCAGAGTCCAGATCAATAATAAAACTCGGATAAACCGCGAAACCAGAAAACGGACACAACGGCACACCCAGGAGAGCTCGGCCAAATCCGAGCCACCTCTAGGTGGCTCGGCCAAAACCGAGCCACCTAGAGGTGGCTCGGTGGCTGAGCCACCTAGAGGTGGCTAGGTGGCCGCGAAAACCAACATTTGGAGGACTCGGCCAAAACCGAGCCACCAAGGTGGCTGGCCACCTGTGCCAAGGCACAGATCTGAGTGCCTATAAATAGGCTAGGGGGGCTCATTGTTGAGGGGTTGGAACTTTTGGAGCCGAAACTCTGCCGGATTGAGAACTGAATCTTGGAGTTTTGAAGCTTTGAAGACTTGGACATTTTCAGATCTGGTTCTTGGCGAGCATCTACGTCAGAAAAGACAGGAGTTCGAGAGAGGAAGATCAGATCTGAGATCCACACGGTAATACTCCGGATCAAAACTTGGTTTTTGATCCCGAGAAGGCTATTATTTCCTTGGTGAAATAGTACACCCAGCTGTTATTTCCTTTGTGAAATAGCACCCGTTATATCGTGTAGATCCGACCGGATCTAGATAGCACGGTAGTCCACGGATTAACCCCGGCGCAGGCAAAGAACCCACAAAAGCGAGTGACCGCAAAACAGGAGCTCGTGATTCGTTCGACAAACAAGGAAGATTGTAACTTTTTCTTTTTCTTTTGATCTCGTTATAACCGGATCTTATAAAAAGACCGAATCTTTCTGTAACCGATAAACTGTTACCAAAGAGTGCAATGACTTCAATGAAAGCAACAATTTTTCCCGCGAACATCCCCCCTAGGGTTAGGGTTTCTGAATTCATAATTTTCTCCCAATTTCGATTAGGTTGGTTCAGCTGGGACTCGATCCATGAGACAGAGTGCAGATACCTTCCTGAATTCTTCGACGAGAGCTCATATACGAGGAACCCTAGGGTTTACAAGGAGTACCAAGACTTCATCATCAATAGATTTCGCAAGGAGCCGTCTCGAAGGCTGACATTTACTGAGGTAAGGAAGTCTCTGATTGGAGATGTGGGGTCGGTAGAGAAGGTGTTTAGGTTCTTGGATCGGTGGGGATTGATCAATTTTGGGGTTGATAAAAGGGAGGAGAAGGAGGAGGTGGGATTGGCAGCAGTTGTGGTGGAGGAGGGGGAGCCTTGAATTTTTGAGTTTTTGCCCTGATTTCGTTCGAGTCATAAAGCAGAACTATCATCTGAAGTGATTATGTTCATTTCTGCTTGCTAAAGTTAAGATTTTGGCGTCTGGGTTCAGAGATTCACTACCACATAATTGATCTATTGCAACGGTTAAGACGCAACGGTTTTAACTGTTGTGTTAGATATCTATCGTAACAGTTTTCAGAGTCTAATACAACATTTAATATAAAATGTTGTCATAGGTCTAATGATTATTCCTGAGCTTAATAATTGTTAAGTGACCTTTGGAGAGCTTAATTAAAGCCCATGGTTTGACCGCACCGCTTAAAGGAAATCTCTCTCACTCTCAAATCCCTAAAATCGCCGACATGGCCAAAAAATTCCTCTCCCTAAAATCGTCGTGGCCAAGATCTTCATATAATCGGCGATCTCATCACTGAATTCGTCGCTGTTTTCATCTTGGATTTCATCTCCAATCTCCTCTCTGATATCATCTTCGAGCTTGTTGTCATTCTCGTCGTCGAGCTACTCTCGTTGGTCTCGTCTCCGATATCATCAATGGCGGGTCGCAACTGGATGCACGAGAACAACGGAGGGTAAATCTCCATATCATCATCATCTGTGTTGCGATTTCTGGATTGGATTACTGCGTGGTGGCGGCCGATACGAGGTTGTCGGTTGGATACAACATTTACACCCGTGATTACTCGAAGATCTGCCAACTGTGAGGATCTTCTCTTCACTTGCTCTTGTTCTATTGTTTGCCCTAGAGTGAAATTTCTGTAGCATGAAATCTAGAGTTTTGGCTGTTTTGATTAGTTTGTAATGATGGTGGATCAAGGTTAGGGCTTAGGAGTTATGGGAGTGCTTTGTGCTCTGATGTTTGTTTCGCTGTGTTCTAACCCTAACCCATTTTATTTTATGTCTTACTGAATTTTACATCAAAAATATTCTCAGAAATGAAGTTATCTCAGAAAGTATTAATAATTATCCAAATTTAAGGGTGTCTTTGGGATGTGTATTTATCTCTTTTGAAATGAAATTTAGGAGCTAGTTTAAGTGATTTGCCATCTCTCACGATAAATCCAACATATGTTTCTTGTAAATTTCTCTAGATGACTCAGATATTTTAACTTCAGTTGAACGAGCCATCTCCTTGTTATCTTTGGTCCCGCCTCTTGTTTGGTTCACACTGTTATATGTACTAATTATTAGGAAACACCAAAAATGAATGAACTGGTGTACATATGTGTGATTCCATATTCATCACTTTCTTACTTTTAACAACCACTTTCTTTTTAACTTTGTGTATCATAAGACAATGAACTCTCCTGGTAGAACTTCAAATGGCGTCCAAATCGTTGCATCCTCATACCGAATTATCCGTTTTCGTAGTTTGTTATTGCATCTTGTTTATTACTCAAGTTAAGGCAAAGGTTCTCGCAGTCTACGTGTTTGGGGATTCATTGGCTGATGTAGGAAACAATGACTACTTGGAGTTCTCATTTCTGAAAGCTAATTTTTCTGTTGTAGTAATTGTAATTTTGAAAGCTTCCAGAGGTCCAGTTATTGGCTTCCCCATTGTTTAGTTTAGAGCTAGGTAAGAAATGGAAGGAGTTTGTAGCTTTGTCTGCACAGTTGATTCATGATGGCCTGCTTTCAACTCCTAGAAATTTGATTTAAGTTATTATGTGAGTGTGCTTGTGTCCTTAAATGGTGTGTTTCCTTTAGGCCATTAACAGTCTATTTTTTATTTCCCTTGAGCACGTCGTAGAGCTTAACTGTTACTAATATATGCATGCACAATAGCCTGCTTACTCTATAGTATTTTATTTGATGTCATTCATATTTATTTACTCCTGATGAGCCATATAACATGACCAGCTTGTACTTTCTTCTATTTGAGTTGTTTTTATATCTCATGATGAGCCCTTATGATACGTTACTCTACTTGCATTGTTGAAGTGATACCTTCAATAAGTGAGTGTCGTAGAATGTCAGATATTAGGCTGAGACAATTCTAATTTACAACTTACCATTTTTACCAATTAGTATTGTCCTTCTGAATGTATATCCTCATCTCTTTTATCCTTCGACAGGTACGAGGCAGAGAAGCTAAACATATTCTAGAAAGAACAAAAGTAGGTTTATTTTACAAAGAACAGAACCTGCTTCTTTACAACACAGTTGACCTTTTTTCACCATGAAGTTGTTGGAAGACACTCATTTAGACAGGTATGTGGCTTTTATGTTAATATTGTCATAAGTGTAAAGTTTGATATAAATATTGTTGTTTTGAGGATATCGTTTTTTCATTATTTGTCTTCATATTTTTCTTATGCAATCTTTCAGCATAAATATCTTCCTTAGCTGTTTAAATCTTGGGGAAAGTACTATCAAAGGGAGTCTTAATCCCAGGTGGCGCAAGTATGGACAGAAATTTGTCAAAGGAAATCCTAATCCCAGGTATGTTTTGTTCCTATTAAGCTTGTGGAAGGCCATAACAGTCATGCTTCGAGATTGGAGCCAACTGCTGCCCCTTCATCATCAGCTTCTTCTGTTTCTGCTTCTGACACTATCACATAATTGATCTACTGCAACGGTTAAGACGCAACAGTTTTAACTGTTGCGTTAGATATCTATCGTAACGTTTTTTAGGGTGTAATACAACATTTAATATAAAATGTTGCCATAGGTCTAATAATTGTTTCTGGGCTTAATAATTGTTAGTGGCCTTTGAGCTTGAGTAAAGCCCACTGTTTGACCGCACCGCTTAAACCGCACCAGTTAAAGGAAATCTCTCTCTCTCTCTCAAATCCCTAAAATCGCCGCCGCCATGGCCAACCAAAACTCCCTAAAATCGCCGTGGCCAAGATCTCCCTAAAATCGCCGTTTTCAGTCAGCGCCAGAGTCCATTAACTTTCGTCGCCGTTTTCATCTCGTTGGTTTCATCGTCGAGCTACTCTCATTGCTCCAGAAATAGAGCCCAGTCCTCGCCGGAGCTTTCTAGGGTTTCAGCTGGTACTCGGTCAGATTTCTCTTCCACTCCGAACTCTTAGATTCAACCTTCTCGTTTCCCTTTTTGCATCTTATTTATCTGTAAATTTTTGACGATTGAACATATTTTTATTTGAATTTTCATGTTGTGTATACTTTAGATTCAGCTCCGTGCTATTCAATTCTGTGAATGATTAATAGCATATGGATTGAAATCTTAAATTTTACTAGTATAGCATCGATGAATATTTAGTCATATTGATATCATTGACTAGTATTAGGATTAATTTTCTTTTTATTGTTAAATCATTAATTTTTTTAGTTCATATTTGCATGCCCTTTGGTGTATTTCTCTCTGCCTCTACTAGAAGTTGTTTATGCTTAACGTGTGTATATTTGTGTTAAGGATTAATGGGTTTGGCCCATTTGAGAGATATTTTTCAGAATATTGGCGATGATCATTCGTTTGTTGTCTCCTTAATCTTTAGTTTTAACTGATTAGTGCATTTACCTGGAGTTTCTTGTGATAGGCGCAAATTTAAAGTGTTGGTAATAGTTGGGTTTTGGGAAAGAATTTGCGCGAGTATGATGGGTCTATTGTTTCTTAGTAAGTGGGAAGTCAGAACATTTGTCATAATGTAATGTTTCTAGACCAATTAGTTTAAGACACGAAGAAGATGAAGATTCCCGTATGAAGTTTTAATCGGAGTTTAGCAGAACATGAAAAGCTAGCCAATATTCATTGTGAACAAGGAACAAATTCAGTCTTGGGGAACTTTGCCATATAAATGATCAGCAGCACGTACTCATGTTCAGCAAGCAGAATGTATGGTAATATGTGAATTAAGGTGTGAATTAGATGACTAGATTGGTTACAGTAAAGGTTGTAAGTAAATTAAGTATATATGAACTGATTAATTGGTTGATAAGAAAGAAAATAATTTACTTAATTCAACTTTTCCAATGCTTGTTCAGGTAAGTTTCCAAAACATCGTAATCAAATCATTGTCTTTCTTGTGTTGCACAAAGGATATATTCATCTTTTTGTATTTGTCTGAAACCGTACATGATCGTTAAGAATAACTTATATTATACCATTAAATATGTGGGATATCAATTCATTAAGCGTGTTGAATTGTAGAGCGATCATTATAAGCTGCTTCCTGTTGATTTACGTGATGTTGAGCAGTTAGATATTATCTTGAGGCTAGAGCGATCATTATAAGCTGCTTCCTGTTGATTTACGTGATGTTGAGCAGTTAGATATTATCTTGAGGCTTGCAAAGTTGGATCCCAGGTTTGTGATGAAATATTTCTTCACTATCACTGCAGAATATCCATTTGCATTATCAAAGTTGGATCCCAGGTTTGTGATGAAATATTTCTTCACTATCACTGCAGAATATCCATTTGCATTATTACAAGTGTTGCATGATATAGTAAGTTCAGTTCTAAAATTTCAAATTTTCATCTTGTTTGCCGGTGTTTATTTGGGTTTTCAGTTTTTTCCACATGTACAGTAAAAAGTACTTATTAACTGTAGCTGCATTTATTAGTTTTGTTAAAACAAATGTTTGCAACTGATAGAAACACTACAATTGTATGAAATGCTCATATTTGATTAAAATGCTAAAGTTACATGAAGCCTTGGGATTTTGGTGAAAATGGATTTAAGAAAGACTAGCTGACCAATTATTAGCTGTCCTTATCTTGATTTTGATCAGAGCAAGGGTGTCTTATTAAACTTTCTTCTAGCTTGGTATCATATAAGCTCAATCCTGAACACCTGACACTTCAGTTTTTATTATCTATTTTTCGTGTATCTAGTACTTATGTGATTCTTTTCATTTATTACTAGTTAATCACTTCTCTTTGAGCGATGGAAACAGTGGGTGATTCTAGATCAAGTTCAAAAGAGAAGAGATCATTTGAGGTAATTTCAAATCTAGAATTCTCAATCCTAAATTCATTGTTTGGGAAGCATCCATGTAATATTTGTCACATGTGAAACTTGAAACAACATACTTTTTTGTTAATCGATATGATTTTAACGTGACGTCTCATATTGTGTACCTGATGTTTTTAATATCCATTCGATTATGAATGGCCCATGGATAAATAGCATTTTAGTAGAGCATCTTAGTCCAAAGTTATACCATGTCATTTACAGTTGTATGCTAATTGAGGACTTAGGGTGTTCATCTGGTATGATTTTCAGAAAAAAGAAACCGCCTTCTCGCCTTTATCCTGTTGCCTTGTTTGAGGAGGGACATCAGCAATTAAACAAAATGAGAGTAAGGGGCAGCACCAATTAAACAAAATGCAGGACACTTAAAAAAAGTTGATATTGTTTGCTGTTTGTTTTGGTCTCTTTTGATAGAGCCACCTCTTATGTACATCATCAGCCTTGTGAGGGACAGTGGATGTGTTTATATCCTTTTGTCCCTAAGGTCCCTATTGCTTGCTGTACAAATTCAAGGGCTGTTTCCTGTCCTGTGACCTGTCAGGTTATCAATTTTGTAGTTGTGCCTCCACCATAGGGGTTTTGATTCTCATGGAACTAGTGAAGCTCAGTCTAGTATCATTACTGTCTTGTACATCAAATGATGCCCATTTGTCGGTTTATTGTTGTATCAGTAGAATGTTTGAACTGTTGTATCAGTTTATTCTTTTTTGTGAGGGATTGGATAGTCATGTGACGTCTGGACTTGTTGGATAAAGAAAGATAATAAGATGCAAAGGTGAGGAAACATATTTATTTGTATTGAAAAGAGTTCATACTTCATAATTTATATGCGTAGCTGCTAATTGAATCTTCTTAGTGTTCAGGGTTCAACCTGTGCCTTATCACTTGCAGACCTGGATTTATTTTGTAGTGAGTGCAAATAATGTGTTTGATTACCTCGTCCTTTGTAAGCTCAAGAGTAATCCAAGCTAAACGTCCCCACCTATATTTGCACTGAGTACGAATAGATATATTAAACTCCAGCCTATGGACTGTAGCTCTAAGATCATCAGTTCTGACAAAGTCATGATATATAACCTTAAACTGAAACTTGATCTCACACCCCGTGTATTTTTCTGTTCAGACCTACAACCACTGAACTGATGGAAACTTTGTTTGGTACTATATTTCAGAGACAATACTAGGATTTTGCATTGTTGGTCTCAAAGTTCTACAATTAAACTTTTTTTGATAAGAAAATGCATCTATGTTTAATAAGGACACTTAATATATTCTTTGTTCAAGTTGAATATATTAACCTATATTAACCTATAAGTTTCATGTGTCAAAAGTTTTCATTTCAGCTGTGTATTCTCATGATTCTGATATAAAATTTTCAAATGAAGTATACGGCATTCTAAGTTGTTAATTATGCTAAAATATGTCTCTAAAGAACCTGATAATTTAATATGTTTCTTTAATTTGTTGGCAACAAAATCATGATAAACTTTACATCTGCTAAGTGGACAAATAGATAATTCTTCATATATAAGATCTGAAGCAATTTAATGAATTATTATTTTGTAGGTCATGAGCAAACCTCTTGCAAAGAAGCGTAAAAAGATCTTTTATCCTCCTCTACATGTGACAAATCTTGCAAGGATGAATCAATCCAAAGCCTGCAGCCAACAGCTTGATGGAAGCAATGTACCAAGGATGAAAATAAAGCAAAAATCGCAGTCTCATAGCCAACAGCACGTTACAAGCAAGTTGACAAATAGGATAACGACTTCTTGATGTCTGAGTTTAATCAGATGAGCAAGTCTGATCCTTCTGTTTTATTCACTTAAATTATTATATCTATATGCCATGGTCCTCTTTAAGATGATAACTAATCTTTGCACGATACTTCTTGGAAACTCTGATCAAATTCAGTTCCCTCACTGACTGTCAGATCATAAGGTACATCATGGATCAGACTTAAATTATCATAGTTTTTATAAGTAGGACTCAAGCAGATTCCCAGCAGTTGAATAGAACTAATGGTACATCATGGTGATGGTGATTTTTGAATGAAGCTTTGATGGTGAGCACGGTGATTCTTGGAAACTAATAGTTTTAATAGCTTGCTTTTGAATGAAGCTTTGATGGTGAGCACGGTGATGGTGATTTTTTGATGGGAATGGGTAAGCGAAACAGGACACATTTTGTTAATAATTTGCTTATGTTCGAAGGTCTACCATAAAGCTAAGTTTCCATGATTGTTAGTTTGGTTTTAAAAGGTGTAAACAAAAATGATAGGTTGTTAACTAAGAGAGTAATGTTCTAATAATAGGTGTGGCTTGCTAATACAATAATATTATTACCAACCAAAGGCTTGCGTATACTATTCACCACGCATATAAACACGTCAAATTTCGTATTATTCTACCGGCATGAAGTAGTAGTTTTCATCATGTATAGGAACAAATTAAGAGGTTGCAGGCCTTTATTTATTTTGAGAGAAACAATAATAGTCACCTTGGGCTGTTGTTTCAGATTGTTTGCTGAAGAATTTTCAGTCTTTATTTCTTATATATCCTGTTTTTCATTACATCATTAGCACTACGAGGTTGGCTTTAGCTTATTTTGATTAAAGAATACTTATTAGAAGTTCTTTGATTATGTAGAAAGCAAGTGAAAAGAATAAGGAAAGTCGAAACAGTCAAACGCTCTTGCACACAGCGGGTTCAAAAAGTTTCGCAAGAATTCACAGAGATATGGTAATCATGTTGTTTATATATGATTTACAGTGTAATTATTTATTAATAATAGCTAAATGATTTAGACATGCAATGAATGGCTAAATGATTGATGTGTTGTTTTGTTGTAGGAAAAGGAATTGAACCGGCCTCCAACAGATGCAGAAGTGTTTATAGAGACTCGTAAAAAGAAGAAAAAAGCGCAACCAGAAAAAACACTTGACATGATTGGTACATTGGAACAACTAACTCAAGAGCTAACTCAGGAACAAACTGAAGAAGAAAATGTAGATGCATGACATCTTGTTAATAAAAAAGAACATCCTGGACGTGTGCGTCTCCGGGGACGGGCAATCACTCAAAGCATGCTACAAAGCAATAAGGAGAAAGCCATTGATCCATGTGATCATGTAATATCCCTAATTTTTATTGATAATAGGTCTAGTTTTATAAATTGTTTTATTAAATATCCAAACAATTGAGTTGGCTATACTAATTTATAAATATGATATTACATGAGGGCTTTTATGTTTCTATTAATAGTGCTTATATATAAGTTTTTAAGGGGCTAAATATGATATTACATGAGGGCTTTTATGTTTCTATTAATAGTGCTTATATATAAGTTTTTAAGGGGCGAGTTGTGAAAGGAAGTTTAATATGGGGTTTATTGAAAGTGGAAAACTAATATAAAAGGAGGTGGAACCCTAGCGTCCTACCTTCTGAAATAGCAACCGACAAAAAAAAAGATTATATTATTAGAGCGGCTAACTTTGGAGAAGTGGGTTGCTAATACTCTTTGGTAGTCGATTCCGTGTTCTCCATCACTCTTCTTTTGTGGTCGAGGTGATCTTTTCAACTTCAATTGGTAAATACTCTTGTTGCTTTGTCTTACGTATTAAAACCTAGAAAATAATATTAACTCAAATAGAATCAAGCACATTTTGGATTGTCAGTCAGATCCATGAGATGCTTATAGAACTAGTGTCTGATCTAGTATGATAATTGTCTTTTCTTTTAGTTAGTAGATCTTGAGATTATTTTAATAGGTATTCGGGTCTTAGGTTATACAGTAATTTTGATAGTTATTTGTAAATATTATGTAGGAATCCCAAGGGACTTCGAGGAGGCTCATGGATATTTTGGTATAAGCCTATGCTTATTTTCTTTATCAATTGTTATGTCTATTCATATAGTGGTAGGTTGAGATGCATATGTGTTTGATTTATTTCACTATTGGTTGGCCTTTGGCATTTTTGTATAATGTGATTAGCTTTACGAACTTTGTTTATTGTTAAAGCATATGCATCTCAAGTCAATATACCGGTATATGTCGGATATAAGCAAGCTATTAAAACAGGACTCAATGTGCCTCTATGAGGTTTTATTTTAGCGCTAAGAGCCCAAATTGGGTCTCACCGTCCCGGAACCACGGGCTTAATAATTGTGGGGTTTACCGAGTCAACCGGAGTATGAAGTGTTGACCGCATTGAGACGTAGCATGCTTATTTCTATTCCATGATTTCTAATTTTCTTAAATATTTGTATCAAATACTAGAGTTCATTAATGATTCTATATCATTCTTATATTTTGTTTATTTCTCGTTGTAATTTTTTAGTTTTGCAAAACCAGTGTTTAATGTATGAATTTATCCACTTATTGAGTTGTGAACTCATTGTGTTATTTCTATTCTTTTCAGAGACTCGGGATTAGGTGGAATTGAGGATTGTCAAATTCTTAGAACGAAGCAAAGAATAATTCGAGATTGTTATTGTCTTCTAGGCGAAGGTTAAATAAAGTCTTTAATGTTTAGATGATGAATTGAGAGTTTGTAATAATGAGATTCTTTCTTTAGGTTGAGATTTATTTGGAGTTGAGGAATATTTATTTTTATCAAGTTAATTGGCTTAGTTGACTTTTGGGATTATAGAGAATATTTGTTGTTGGTTTTAGTTCAATGAAGAGATTTGTTTTAGTGTTCTTTTAATGAATGTATATTTTGGAGGACTTTTCACAGGTTTAGTCCGGCTCTAATATTCCTTTGAGGTTCGAAAATTGGGGTCGTGACAGAATGGTATTAGGGATTAGGCTGTAGGTCCTAGTTGATGTTTTAGATGGTCAAGTGATGAAAGAAAAATATATTGGATTTTGATGCATAGAAATGAAAGTTGATGTTTTATTTTGAAGTCTGATCGAGGATAATATGAATATTATTTGATCAAATTTAGTTAAAGAGGTATATGATTTTAGATTCATGGATTACATAATTTCTTTTTGTTTAGTTTTTCTAGAGATAAAGGAATTAGTTCAGCTTAGTTTTAGGCATGTTTGACATATGTGACTCATGAAAATATCATCTAATAATATATGATATTATGATAAGGAATATGCTAAGGATTAGTTATTGATGATTATTATGATTAAACTTTCATGCTAAATGTATTTATTTTTGGTGATGTTAGGTTATGATTGCACTTGATGTGAAAGGTTATCAATTTGAGTTTTATGAGGGAAAAAAAACAAAATTAATGGTTTATTCTGAGATATGATTATTGTTCGCGGGGAAAATCGTTGCTTTCTTCATTAATGATTCCATTGTACACTCTTGTAATAGTTTATCCTACGATACAAAACCCGGTCCTTTTATAAAGATCCGTTTACAAAAAAATCAAATTGAAAAAATGAAAATTTACAACCTTTGTTTCGCTGTTTGTCGAACGAAATCACAGCTCCTGTTTATAGCGGTCGCTCGCGTTGTGTGTTCATTTGCCTGGCGGCGGGGTTGTTTCGGGACCACCGCGCGATGCTAGATCGCGAATATAGCAGTACATGACGGTATATTTCACCAAGAAATAATAGCGGGAGGAGGATATGGTTTCACCAAGAAACAATCTCCAAGTACGGATCTAAGACCAAAGCTTAGATCGCGGAGTGTAGCAACGTAGATCTGAATCCGATGCCCTCGAAACACCTGCGTAATTTGAACGTTGATGATCGGCCGAGGCACCAGATCTGGATCAAGTCCTCGAAGTCCAAAGCTTGAATCTTGTTAAGCTTCTGAGTCTGAGTTCCAGCCAGGGCTCGCCTCTGCCAAAATTTCCAACTTTCAAAATGAACGCATGGCTAGCCTATTATAGCACTCATTCAGATCTGTGCCGTAGGCACAGATCTGGCCGGCCAACCTCAGGTGGCTCGGCTCTGGGCCGACGCACTGAGTGGCTCGGCCGGCCGAGCCACCCCAAGTGCTCGCAATGCAGAGCCACCTTGGGTGGCTCCCACCGACACCACAAGGTGGCTCGCTTGGGCCGAGCCAACCTTGAGGTGGCTCGTGCCTTATGGTGTGGTGGCCGAGACTGAGGTGGCTCCGGCTTGGGCCATAGCCACCTGAAGTTGGCTCGCTTCACCGAGCAACGCCTCTGTGTGTTTGGTGTTTTCCCCTTTGTCTGTCCGTGATGATGTAACGTTAGTCCTCTGGATTTTGGTGTATCTGATTTGCAGATAAATCCGGACCGATTAGGCAGTAATCCGCTTCTGATGATTGAAGTCCGACCGATCTTGAAATTCGTATCGTCATCGTCGAGTACTGCCTTTGTTGTATGATCGTTGACCTTGCGACGAGTCTTTTGGCTGACTCCGCCTGCACTATGTCGGATGGCATTCCGTCGCGTTGATGCATTCGTCGATTCTCGTCGCGTCGTTGGTTTCGCTCGTGTTGTTGTGAGGCTGAGCGTACGGAGCGCTATATCATTTTATATCCTACAGATACCCTCCAAAGATTTCAAGTTCTCTTCTTAAAAGAGTCGTGAATACTTTGATATGATTGTCCCCACCTTCAGTGTCAGGTCGGTGTAATGGGATTTTTCTTCTTGGAATGACTTTCGTTTGATTCCTGTCAATCTCCAGCTATCGTCTTTGTCGAATGTTCAAAGTTCGGTGCTGCATGTATTTGTCTGACCGTTGTCGGAATTTCGAATTTAAGTCAATTCCTCGGTTTTCTGATTTTAGCTCTGTGCTTATGTGGTTGAACACCTAGCACGACCCTCGACTGTCGCGTCGATTTTTTATGTGCACGCGTTTCTGCCGGGCGTTGTGTTGTTGATTTCCTTAAAATTTTTAGAAGAAATATCCCGGCAGAAACTTGCTCAACAAAATTAGGAACATTTAGTAATCTCATATACCTTACTGGAGTAAAACATTTATCTCGTATCTTTTCGGAGTATTTAAAGAATCAGTTATACTCTCAACTTTTCGAGTAAAAGCAGTTTATACTCGTAATACTTTTCGAGTAAGAAGCAGTTTAAAACTCGTATACTTTTCGAGTAAGAAGCAGTTTATACTCGTATACTTTTCGGGATATTGATTCCTTTCATTGCAACGCATTGTAAGGCGTTGA